TAAAAAAGGAGATCAAAGGAAGAACCAGAGCAAGTTATTGGGGCCAAACTTGTCATGGAATAATGGAAAATAGTGCAAAGTATGTTTCATCTGAGCATGTAATCTAGATTTTCATAGCAGTCTTATGTGAATTTTTGAATTACATACCTTACTACAATGCAAAGTATTTTTCATATTCATTTGGTGGTTTGGTGTGCTTATTGGTGTAATTGGTAGTTTAAAAATAAGCTTAAGGCTGTTTAGTTGGTCCCTTTATTAGTAATATACAGTTCGTGAATAATACAATAATGCGTACGTTCGTGTATAATATGATACAATTATATAAAATACGGCTAAATATATGTTTCATACATTCGTGAAATGCATAAAGATACAAATGTGTTTTAAACGTTTCATAATTTAAAAATACAGCATATAATACATGTCTTTAAAATGTACGGAATAGTTTTTTCAGATATAAAATTTTAATTCATAGGTACAATAAGTAATAAAAATGACATTTCCTATTTATGTAGAAATAGAGAGATATTTCTAGAGTATTGTTTAATTACTGTGGCCATAAATTTGGTGAGCCGACGTAATAATCTTTTCTCTTTGGAGTCTTTGTATGAGTAGATAACAAGAGTAACACAATAGTAGTCCAATAGTAATATCGAAACGAGTTATGACTTTAAGAAGCTAATTTATTAAATCTTATGACTATTAAATAATTAATGAACATATAAGACATAACAAATTTTTAAGCAATATAAATAGTATTGAGCAACTAGACATTTTGCTTCAGTTGTACCACTCCATTAGGCTTAAGTTTAATGGCGTTTCTTTAATAAAATACGTAACAATACGTACGGTACGTGTATTATACATTTTATCCTTAAAGTACGTGAATTTTTCAGTATTTTCTGAAAACTTCAGAAACGGGAGTAATTATACGTGAATTATACGTTTGAATGTATTATACGTGAATTATACGCGAATAAACTAACAGAGGTTGGTCCTCGTTCACATTTTTCCAATTTTTGGAAAATAAGCATGAAATTCTGAAAAGAAAAATCAGAGAGTTGTTTTGAGTAAAAACACATTATAGCGATTGTCATTTATAGAATTATTAGCCCAATTTCACTGGTTAGAAGTTTGGCAATGGCATTTTTTATAGAAAAGAGTTACTTGTTTTTAGATATATCGTTATTTTCAAATCTCTATGATTAAATCAGCCCGTTGTTTATGCTCTATCTGGAGTACATCACTTTTCAGAGCTTTTTAAAAGGAGTATAAAATCAAATTTGATATACTCCGAATAAAATAAGAGATTAAAAATATTTGTGTTGGCCAAATGAATGAAAATAATATTATCAAATTAGGACGGATGTAATATTATACTTCGTATTGCTCAAGCAAAATTATGGCAAAGTAAAATGACAAATACAACTACAAAAATCGGCCCAAGCATTGTCCCTAAATGGCAAATTACAGCAACAACAAGAATTAATGTATTACTACGTATCAAACAGACTAGCTTTTGCTCCCCAGCTTTTGCTTGCGCAAGACGCGAGAGTGTTTGCCCAATAATGATGCACTAAAATATATGTTTATCTCTATCTCTCATCTCTCTCTAAAATACGGAGTATATGTTTAAAATATATGTTTATCTCTATCTCTCATCTCTCTCTAAAATATATGTTTAGGGCTCATGATTCATTGACATAGTCGCTAAGAAGAGAAACAGAACAATGACAAGGGTTTTAATAACGTAATTGTTATATTCTATGACATTTACATCTCATTAAGTTTACTTTTTGGCAACATCAATTATCTATGCCATTATTTCAACATTTTAAATAATACTGTAGTACATAATAATAATGAATTATCCATGCCATTTTTTTAAATGAATTATCCAAGCCATTTCAACATTACGTTACTTACGAATATGAGAGTACTATTTGTAATGTAATGTATACCGAGTATGTAATGTATTATAATGTTCACACAACTAATGATTGAATAAAGTGTTTTATTTTTAAATTTAAGAATATAATCATCTTCACACATCAAATTTTGCTTATTTCAAATTAAAATGGTGCTGATTTTTTCAGAAGTCATAACTTTTTACTCGTAATGTGTCATGAGATCCATAATATATCAAATCGAAGGTATTTCAGAGGGGTCAGCTGACCATCTTGACCCCCCTTGGCTCCGCCCCTGAAAACACACATCTTACATAATTCACAAAAGTATAAAACACATTAGGCTAAAGAAATGTTAAAACATAAATTTAATAAATGATCAATAAAAGTATACCCCTTACGGCACTTGTGAAAATAAACCTCTCACATGCATAACAAGGGATAAAAGCTCAAATTGGTCACTATGGTTTCATCAGAATCTTATATTTGACACTAAGGTTTTAAATGGACCAAATTAGACACTATGATTTCATATGTAACTCATATTGGACATTAAAGTTTCATAATTCAATATAAGTGAGTGTCCAATTTGATCTTTATCCGATATAAGTGAGTGTCCAAAACCTATGAATTATGAAACTTTAGTGTCCAGTATGAGATACATATGAAACCATAGTGTCTAGTTTGATCCATTTGAAACCTTAGTGTCAAATATGAGATTTTGATGAAACCATAGTGTCCAATTTGAGTCTTATCCCTGCATAACAATTCACTTTTCCTGCAAATGAAAGTCAAAAAAAGGATTTTTTATAGATTGGAATCTAGTCCCCGAAAGAAGTTCCTCATTTGACTTTCACACACTTTTATGCAAGTAAACTTACCAGGGGGTAAATTTTACTGTTTTGACACTGTTTCGACACTGTTTGGCACTGTTTTGATGTAATTAACTTTCCATTTAAGGAAATGGGAACTTAAATTAGGGACATCCAAATAAGGAAAGTGAGAACTTCTTTCGGGGACGGAGGTAGTAATATTTAAAAGCAAAAGATTTTTTGGGAGGAAGTTCCCGCCTAAAACAATCACATCAAAAATTGATATGAAAAGGTGCAAGCTAGACCGGAAATATTATACAGAGTTTGTGAAAAATAAAAAATACAGAGTGCAAAATTGTGAAGTCATGTCCACTGTAACGAAATATACTCCCTCTGTCCTTGAATTTAGTTCCAACTTTTCATTTTCGTCTGTCCAAAAAAAAACTTGACTTTCTCTTTTTGGCAAAGAATTTGTGGTTCACAACATTTCTCTCTCTTCTGCACAACTCTCCACCATACAATTCTCACTTTTTTAATCACGGTGACACTTTAATTTGGAACAACAATTGGGAGTAATTGATATGGAGTACTACATAGTACTGTACTAAATTTTAAAATAGTAGGATGCGTACCGTGCTTCATTTTCGAAGTATCATTAAATGTGATGTCTCTACCCTTACTTGCAACTTGCATCTTCGTACTCCGTTTGCGTGACAATTACTCAACCTATACATCAAAGAAAACATAGGCATGGGGCAGTAGACATTTCATGAAACTCCATTTGGCTATAAATACGGAGTACATTGTGATTGAAGTTTGCTCACACTTTCTCGCCGCGAAGTATCAAATTAAATATTGTATATAATGCTATATGTGAACTACAGGGAAAATGTTGAAATTTGCACTCCTTGGGGAGACATGGTTTAGATGCTATTGACCTATAAACTCATTTACCCAGATCCTATCCTACTAATTCTTCATTGTTGCAAGGCAAGAGAGTATCAATACTGTTTTTTAGTCATGGCTACATTTTTATGTTTTTTTTTGTATAATCTTCTCATTGATTGAACAGTTATTTGTGTGATTAGGTCGAGTGTATGTGCTTAACGTGTTCAATATCACAAAAATGATCTTAAATGGAGAGGAAGATGAATCCTCTAAATTCAAGTGTAAGAGGAAGATGAATCCACTCATTTCAAATGTAGTTATACTCGCGGGTAAGACTAGGGTAGGACTAAGTAGTAAGTACCATTTTTTCACACTAGGGTAAGACTAATCTTATCATTAAATCAGGATGGCAGCAAAGTTGGGGCTGTGGTATCATATTATTTTTCAGCAGAATCAACATTTGAAGATCATATCTGCAGTGGGAGGTTGTACTTAGCAACAAGTATCATCTTAAGAAAATATATACATTGGGACTAGATCTTATCCGGAACCTCCGGTCTTGTGTATGGCAGTTTGGAGGGAACTAGTTTAAGTATATGTATATTTTAACTTTTCCAACTCTGGCTAAACTTGTTTAAGTATGATTTGATCTTTGTTATGTAACCCCATTTTTTGCTTATGAGCCACAAATTTATATGACCTAACAAGTAACAATCATCAAGAACTTCATATCTTTCATATCATAACATATTTCATTTCTTGTGCATGTTGATTTTTCTAGCTTGTGTTCTAAACATCAATGCTTTAAATGAATTAGGATTCAATCAAGATCTTGTCTCAAAACAAGTGGAAAGACAAAGTAACTTACTAAACCCTACTAAAATAACTCAAAACATAAACCAAGATCAAACATAACCTTCACACTAGGATAGTCCAAGGATATGATTTGGGTAGTCAAAGGCATCCCAACAACCTTCATTGATCGATGGCAATTTTTTCAAGAATTATCAAGATTTAAATTTTAATTTAGAATGTTTGGAGGAAAGTAACTTAAATTATTTCTTTTGTTTAAGACACTAGTGTCTTGTATTGATAATTTAGTATGTATGAAATTCATGATGTTTGAGATTTTGAGTAATATATATATAAATAATTATTTGCCATTTCTATGCATACATATAATATTCATATATATATATATATATATATATATATATATATATATATATATATATATATATATAGTGGTGATTCCGCTCTCCGACATACCGCTACAACGTTTTTAGGGTTGGCCGCGAAACTCCACTATCCTATCCAGGTTTAACAATATTGAATTTAAATAAAATAGACCAGAAAACTACAATCTAATTGACCATCATAAAATGATTTGTTGCGACATCATCCAATTGAGATATGCTAAAGGCAGAAGAATCCAAGGAAGTGAAAATTCGTCAAAAAAATTACAGAACATGAAAAGCAGAAGTTGCCTTGACCAAAGCAGAACCATACGAGGAGGAAAAATGTTTTTATTACTAATAATATTACTACTATTATACATGCCTTGAAGTAATCAATGTTCTTACACTACAAATCAAGAAATCATCACTACAAATATCAGAAGCAACAAATATGCTCACTGCTCTCCTTCAAGCATCAACATAAAGTTATGCTTTGAATTTGAAATGTTGGCTTTAATTGAGCTTGTGATGGAAAGAAAAGAAACCTTTAGTACTAAAGAAGACTGATTTGTTTTACATTTATGGGGTAGCAAGATTTTCCTTGGCCATGGGTGCAATTTCATCACCATCATTGCCAGTCTCACTGCCAGCCACTCCTAAGCTCAAAAGCAGTGTTTCCCAGTTCTTGGCTGGTCCCTGAAAGGAAAAAACAATTAATTTATCAGAATCCATACTCTGAAAACCATGTCAAAGAAATTTCTGTTTATTTTTAAGTAACGCCTGCCTTCCAAGAGAGATCCTGTGACATGCAGTTTTTGATCATTTCGGCAAATGCAAGAGTTCCATAGGTCGCAAGTGCTCTAACAACAGTTGTTTCCACCTTGAGCACATCTTCTGGGTCAACAGTTTCACACTGAACACAATCAAGAATAAGTCTTAGTCATTACTCCATCTGTTATGATGTTAATATTGTTTTTATAATAAAAAATAACAGAAAATTGTATAAAATCATAACACGGGAAGATCACATACATCGACGTTGAAAGCACCCATGTGGAACCCTGTATAACCTTCTTTCACAGTGTCAACGAGACCACCAGTTGAGGAACATATGCACGGCTGGTATTTGGACACATTTATATTGATAATTAGACGATTTGAAAATGAAGAGGGAAACTAAATTATGCATTATTATATAGAATGACAAATAGAAGCTTTTGAATATGAAGAGTGAAGTTAAACTATGTATTGGGGGAGTGGGATTCTTACGGTTCCATATCGCATAGCATGCAACTGAATGAGACCACAAGGCTCAAATCTACTTGGGATCAACATAAAGTCAGCACCAGCAATAATCATGTGAGCCAAGGGGACGTTGAATTTTGGCACTCCTCTGGCTTTGTCTGGATACAAGACTTCAAGCTTTTCAATCTGCTGCTCAAAGTTCTTCTTCCCAGTTCCCTGGTCATAAAGAAAGAATAAAGATTCATCACTGCCCATCCAGATCCAAATTACAGTAGACATTATAAATTTATAATAGGCTTAAATATGTTTTAAATCCATGTATTTGTAATGTTTTTGTTTAAAATTATTTTATTGTCTGTCATCACTGTAATCTATGCAGTTTTCTTCCTCACCCCCCCCCCCCCACCAACTCTCTGACAACCTTTGTTTGACAAAACAAGCACGAGTAACATGATTTACGTCATTCTTTTACACAAATTTACTTTTAAAAATATTAAAATTTAATTTTAGAGACATTGAGAGCTAAATTATAACCATGAATGATTAACTTCACCTAGCATAACAGTCTAAATGAAGATTGTCAGGAGTTAGGCGGGCCTTTTTACGCTGGAAAACAAGAAGACATTTTACATAAATCTAAGAAATGAACTTCGGAATAACAACAATATAGCAAAACACGCATTAAGAGTCGGCCTTATATCACTTACCAAAATCACAATCTGAACATTCTGAGAAATGAACTTCGGAATTGCAGCAGACAGAATGTCTGAGCCTTTCTGCTCTTCAAGTCTCCCAATGAAACCAATCAATGGAATATTCCTATCAACTGGTAAACCAAGCGCTGCTTGAAGAGCTTCTTTCACCAAGGGCTTCGCTTCCATAACCTACCAATCATTCCAAATGAGTAAAGAAAGCTCCCTAAATGAATGTGTTTCAAATGAAAGAAACAAAAAAGTAGATTGCAAGTATAATAATTACAGTGGTGATGTCATAGTTGATGCCAGTGTGCTTGTCTGTTGCAGGATTCCACTCTTGGGTATCCATGCCATTGCAAATACCTGTAATGCCAACGTCTCTAATGTGGTTGTCCAATTCAACACCCTTTGAAACAGCGGAAACAAGCTCTTGGGCATAATATGGACTCACAGTCACCACCCTGCTAGACTCGCGTATTCCAGCCTTCATCCAGTTTATCTTTCTCCCCTTCACTGGCTTGTTATACCTTCAATATTGAAAATCAATTGAATTTAGATATAGATACCAAGAATGCAGGATACGGAAACTCATATTGTCTAATTCATACCCATCAATGAAATCAAAAGAACCCTTGTATGAATCAGGCAGGTTCAGAAGGCTAAAGTCTGAAAAGGCAAATCTTCCTTGGTAGGCAATGTTGTGAATGCAGAAAACAACCTGGGAACATTAGAGGAAATATCAAGAACATGTAAGAGAGTATATTAGTTGTGATACATGATGAAAAAGATATATTTTCATAAGATGTTACTTTGGCATTTGTGTAGATTCCCTTGGACTGGTACATGCTTTTCAGATAGCAGGGAAGTAGAGCAGTGTGCCAATCATTGGCAATGAACACCACATCCTCACCTTCACAATTTCATAGAGATTAAGCTATGTAGTGGATTTTCTAAAACCACTAACCGCAACTACTTCCATAAACTCTCTAAGTAAAAAATTGTTACCATAAGGTCCACTGAAGTATTGGTTGCAATTGAGATTCAAAACTCGTGGTGCCTCAAGTGCTGCCTGAAACCAACATAAGTGAAGATGTTAAATGCCATTATAAATGCCTAAGGCAGAACAATGCTGGAAGCTAAGGGTTTGCTTAGCTGAGGGATTTTGGAGGAGAGGAATGGTTTCTAACTTTCTATTTAACAAATTTATCTCCATTTGCAAGTCTTAGTTAAATAATATATTTATTTATGTATGATTTTACATTATCAAATTTTTACGTCCATCTAAAAAAAATAAATAAAATAATAATATCCCTTCCCCTCCCTCTCCTCAGAAATCTCTTGTGGTGCACATAATGCATTACTTGGCACAGCAGACTGAACCGGAGCTGGTTGTCCTTGTAATCTTCACCAGCACTGGGACCATATAGCTTTGATCCAGTTTTTCCCCAAACCTAAAAGAAAGCATTTCGTTTTAGTTAGCATATTACAACAGTTAAAATGGTTCACTGCTAAAAGTAACTGAGAAAAGGATTAGTCATCACTCATCAGTCACATTACAAACCAACTCCTGGAATTTAAAACCAAAGCAATAAATTGAGAACAGAATCTTAATTAAGGTGAACGACTTTATTGCAAACTCCAGCCTTAACTTTGGTAAATTCATATATCTTCAAAATTACTAACCTTCTCCAGGAACAAAGGATGATCCACAAAAACGCGATCAACACCACGCTTGTAGCAATGGAAGAAACGGACAGTTTCAATTTTATCTCCAACTTGTAGCTGCAATATGATGAGCTTTCACACTTTCACTACTTTGATGAATTGTTGCAATGAATAAGGGAAAAAGAAATAAAAGAAAAAGACACTTAAAGCTCACAGAAGATTTTACCTGGACAAGCACACAAGTATCCCAAGCATCTTTGTATTGGTCAAACCGGGGACATACTGTCATTACCCTATGCCCCCGTGCCTGTAAAAAAAGAGAATTATACATGATCAAATTGTAAATGAAGAAATCCCACCTATAACATTCTCTTACAAATAAGAATGACATTAGCCGTACGACAATAACAATAAGTGTATTCTTAGTGGCACTCTCCACCCGTGTTACAACAACGGGTGCTACTATCCGAGAGACGAGAGTGCCGCCGCCACCAGGTGCTGTGGTCTGGCACCACCACGGATGGCGGGTGCTGCTGTCTAGTTTCATCATTAGATGTCTAGCTTCAAATTTAATGAAGCTTTTGTAAAGCAGAACTCGTCAAGTGCTTTTTTGCAGTTTAAAGGCCACATGACTGAATAAGCAAAACAATATGATTCTAGTCCTACAGCCATTAAATGCAGCTAAAAATTAAAAACAAGAACTATATACACTATAGAGCAATTAGGTGAGGAAAAGGGGAGTGTGAAACTTACAGCCAAGGCTGGTGGCAACCCTCCAAGAACATCACCAAGCCCACCAGTTTTGCACCAAGGACCCACCTCACATCCCACAAAGACCAAGTTCATACCTTCTTTGCTCACAGAAGGCAGCGACGGCACTGTAGCCTCGATCTTCGGCATTGTAGCTTCGATCTTCCGTCCACGTTTGCTGATTGTCACCTTGGTGTTGCTTCTCAACAGCAACTTCTCAACCTTGTTCACAGATCTCAACCCATAGTGAGTCACAGCATGGTTCCTCAAGCCCAACTGACCCAAGTTGACTTTTGACTCTGCCGCGCCCGCGCAGGCATGAGAAACAACACAGTGGGAAGATGCAATAAGTGCTGCCATCACCCACACCTCTCTACCTAGTAAAAGAAATGGCAGTTATTAGTCCCCGCGATGGAATTTATAATCCTAGATTCTGACATGTTTAATGAGCCAAAAGGTGAATGAATCTTTCTTATCCAAGTCCCACAAACTATAGATTCAATGAGATCAAAGACTTAGAGATGATTAATCAGCATTTCTACTATCTAATGTTCCTCTAGCGGAGCAGATCAGTAGTAACACGATGCCAAAACAGGCAAAAAAACTGGGATTAGTGGAACTGGAAGTAAGATGGAACTGGAAGTAAGATTCAACCCACCACCAACGCCACCACCACCATCAATTCATCGTCAAATCAGATAATAACTTCTTAAAATGAGATGATCACAGTAACAGCTGAGGCTATATATATCAAGTTCAACGAGATTAATAAGATTTCTGAACAAATTATAGAGAATGAAGGTGATTAATTACCCGTTCGTGGAAAATTCTGAGATGGAGCTGCTGGTACCCAAAGAGAGTCAGAGAGTGCAATCAGTAGGAGTGAGGGAAGGAAGGAGGAAGCATTGAGGGGCTACAATTTGTAGCCGTGGTGGCACCTCTGAAAACGAGGTGTGCCACGTGGACGGATGATAATTCGTGGCCCCACACGGAATTAGCCACTGGGTACTTTCTACCAAAATGTGATTTTTTTCAAGAGAATAAGAATATACTTTTGTATCTAGAATATAAGCAAAATAGAAAGAAATTGTGTTAGTTATTAAAGTAACACTTGCTTAGACCAGTGAAAGTCAAAATGAGTCTTATTTTCAAAAGTATTTTTTTAAAGGTCTCAAAAGTGTATATTGATAGTTCAATTTGAAGACATCCGGTTTTCTTTTAAATAATTCCAAATATATTATCAAAACTATAATTAATTTCAAATATGCTCATATAGTCATACTTACGTTAATTACATGTTTGTCTGTGAGAACTATTTGAGTTTTATTTTTTATTTGCAATGTTTGCTCGTTACACAACTGTGATCAATGATAGATTTCTTTTTTTATTAGTAAGAAAGAAAAACAAATTTAAAAAACTTAAGCAAGAACGATATAACTATTTTTCAAAAATCAAATTTCTAGTACATTCGTGAATCAGAATGTTATAAAAAAAGAACATCCGAATAGTGAAGTTTCAAAAAATAAAAACTTAATAACAGATGTAGGTAGTATTTGTAAGTTCATGTCACATATGAAGTGCATGCGTACATTATAGCATTAGCATTAGAAATGTACTTACATAAATATTCGAACTAGATAAGGAAAAATATCTTGATTGCCAAATTTAGTTTTGGTCAATGTTCAAGTGTTTTGCCATGATCTCTGCTCTTTTCTTGAAACTTAACCACAATAGTAACGATCAAACGCGCGTATTTTTAATTATTATTCTTCCAATGACTTTTTTTATACAGGTTTATTGCTCCATCTCAATTTTTTTGTCATTTCAAAAAAATTGAATCATGATTCTTATTAGTATAGCGATGAAATTTATTTTCAAAAATGAGATTAATCTACAAGAGCAAAGTAAATTTGACAGTGTAAGACAATATTATTATTTAGGAGGCGAATCTGTTTCAGGATAAGTACATAAAGTATTTATAGATACAGAGCTACGGTAGCCTAAGAAGAGATAATCTATACATTTAATAGATTCAATCATGCTAGGACTCTTGTGTCTCACATTATTTCGTAATTATTACTACTTTATGCACATTCTTCTATTAGATCTTTACGCCCGCTACGTATGTCCTAGGGTGAGTTCGACCTCGCTAGAATCCCGCTCAGGCCCAAGGTCTGATATCCAGACCGGCTTGGTTGTTGGTTCCTTTCGCATGTCACGGTCCCCTATCAGGTCCATTAGTTCTTATTAATTAATCCAGTGTGTTGGGCTTCACTTATAGTTTGTATTTTGGTCATGGTCGCGGTTCATGGTACCATCATATAGTATTATGAAAATTATACTCCGTAAATTTTACTTTTATGAAAGTAGTTTTAACAAAGAACATTTTTAAATGTTTTTAATATTATAAATAAGTTTCTATAAAAAGAAAGAGGTATTCAATTTTTGATAGGAAAAATGGAAAATAATAATCCCAACTATTGCCGGTCCGCTAACAATAATCTCAACTATTGATTATTTTTGTATAATCCCAACTATATGGACCATCCGCCAATAATGGTTCATGACCAAATATTACCTCCTATAAAAAGTGAATTTTAAACAGAAATTAAGCGTAAAAATTAAAAGTTGGGATTATTTATAGGGATTACTTGTTATATCTCTTCTCATCTACTTTAGAAATTACATGAATTTATTTACAGGGACCATTATTGGCGGAAGGTCCCTAAAGTTGGGATTATTCTAAAATAATCAATAGTTGGGATTATTATATGCGGACCGCCAATAGTTGGGATTATTACAATCAATTTTTCCTTTTTGATATTATAGTTTTTATTATTTTCAAAATTTTGAAAATAACATGAGACAGAGGTAGCAAAATATACTCCGTATAATACTGGGGTCAAGAAATGAAAAGTGTTACCGTATGTTATCAAAATATATTTCCTTTGTCTTACAAAACATTGTAATTTTAGGATGTTTTTACTTGGATTTTAATTTGTTCCAGACCAGATCAGACCAGACCAGACCAGACCAGATCAGTCCAGACCAGACTTGGAGAGTTATAAAAATACAAAGAAACCAGACTTTACCAGACCAGACCAGACCAGCAAATTACAGTCAAGTAAAAACATCCTTACTCTTCTAGCTGTCCCAAAAACGGTATTCATCAATTTCACTTAGATAATACTCCGTAATATGGAGTACATCAGTACATGATTAAAGCTATACTCATTCTGTTCTTTATTAATTTTTCGTATTCTTTTTTGGGATGTTTTATGTTACTTGTTTTCATTTTACTTTATTAAATTTTTCTTATAAAATACTCCCTCTGTCCCGTAAATAACTTCTCACTTTCGTTTTTGGACAGTCCCGAAATTAACTTCACACCTCAAAACTTTTCTTATTTGACAAATTTTCTACATCAAAACAGTGTCAAACAGTGTCCAAGCAGTGTCAAACAGTGTTTAAATAGTCCAAAACATTGCACTTCACTGTAAAGTCAAATTTATTTTCTTAATCTGTGTAAAGTCAAAGTGTGAAGTTAATTGCGGGGCGGAGAGTGGTTTTATTTCGTCACTTTTATTACCCATATATTTTTACTTTTTATGTAATAGTTTCTTTTCTCTATCTTTTTATTGGGAATACTTTTTTCCGTGATATATTATTTTCATAACTTTTGATTTACGTTGCATCCTCTATTTACCTCTATTATTTTCTTTTTAAAAATCATGAAAAACCTGAAAGGAGCATTAATTGAGAACAAAAGTTTTCAACAAATTTTAATTACAATGCTACGTGCTAAGTTAACTTTAACCGTAGTTTATGGGACAGAAAAATTATGATTATTAACAAGTTAGACTAAACATTGAATTCTTAAGACTAACGGTAAAAAAGCATGCGTGTAAACGTCATCACGGTAATAGTTCAACGGACCGACAAAATATGTGAGGGTGATTGCTGGAGATGGTGTGAGTTCCGTTTTTAGACCGTTGCCGTCAGCTCATGGGGAAGGATAAAGATGTCTTTCTGAGGTGGGATCAACTTGGGCCTGCAATGAGGCCCGCCTCTCTGACCGATAAGGATGATATAAAATTTAAAAACCCACGACACCTCATGTGAATTACCCTCAATTTCTCTTTCCCTTTCATCTCTCACCCAATCATTATAAGGATCCTCCATTCCACGGACATTGGGAATTTAAAGGCGTAGAGATGGAAAAAAAAAAAAGGAGTTATACTTCCTTTGCAGTGAGAATTGAAAATGGAATTAGGGAGTTATACTTCCTTTGCATCTGCTTCTGCTTGAAAAAAACATTTTTGAAAGCGATTTTGGAAAAGTAATAATTGGTATAAAAGTTGATAATGTTTGAGAAAAAATGATTTTGAAAAGTAAAAGTTGACAGTGTTTGATAAATAAGTGCTTTTTGTGTAATAGAAAAAATAAAAAATAATTTTTGCACAAAGGTCGAGAAACACTTTTTAAAGTAGAAGTTGTCATTTGAAAACACTAGTTTTAGCTTCGAGAAACGCTTTTTTTAAGCAGTTGCAAACACTCCTTTGGTTATTTCTACACATAAGTCATATATTTCTTGTAGACACTACATACTTGTCTATATACAACAAATGTACGAAGTATATAACTTATGTGTACAAGTAGCACCATCTTACAAGGTTACGAAGGATGTGCGAGTTATAGTGGCTGAAGTCCATGATAACTTAGAAATTTTTCAACTTTTTTAATGTAATTTTTTTTCCTTTTTACATTTAGCTCACTCATCCTGCTAATATTTAAGCACGATATAATTCATATTCAGCGCATGACATCTCAGATTCCTGGATCCGCCCCTCATCAAGCTATTGAAAATCCCATCACTCCTTGCGTAGGATGGATATTGCAATTTGAATCGAGCTAAGATAATGATAATATTACTACACTTCTAGATTTATAGTAGGGTGAGCTAAATATATTTAAAAAAATTACACTTCAAGATTTGTAGCACCCTTAGGTTAACCGCAACCCAGTTCCGTCAATAAATCAAATATTCCACCAATTCATAGTTCATACTTATTCACGCAGTCAATTCAGTTTTTACTGCAATCCAACATCGTCAATATATTATAAAGTCATATTATTACTCCAATGATTCTAGATCTAGCTCTGGAGGAGCTCTTGCTTTTCCACGAAACCCATCTTCAGTTACGAATGCAGAGATATTTTCCAAGCAATCACGTGGTTTATCCAAGTCGGGTTTCATGCCTTTGATTTCGAATCAAATTCTCATTTGGCGGTTCATTTACTCCAAATAAAGTCATTCCTCCTTGGCAGCTCTACGCCGTAATCAGTGCATTCACCCTTGCTCTCAGGGATGACCCCCTAACTCATTAAAGCACACATAATTACATAAATGAGTAATATATTAAGCTCAATAGTTTATCTCCATTAGTCATGAATTCAATTTTTTTAGTTAACATGAATAACACTAATATCAAAAACAAAAATTAAAACCTATTTTTTAACACTAACAATTCAAGTTACTCCTCTTTCCATATTTGGGTGCTTACACGAAATCTGTCCAGATTTACAAATATGAATCAAAATATATAGAGAAGTAATAACCTCTTTAAATTATTTTATTTCACACAAATCATGTGCGTCCACATCCATAATTAACATGAGTACCATTAATTAATTTGGAAAAAAATTCAACATGGGATTCAACTTAGTCTGCTTCTTCCAGGTTATTAACCGAATCGGTTCCTTTTTAAGATTTCGAGGCATAAGTCCTTTTTTAAAGCTAGGTATTAGTATAAAACGATACAAACTTGGCTTCATTAAGGTTATATACACGAATTAAAAATGCATTGCTTAATACTTGTATAAAGTATAACCTGGCTTTTATTGAAATAAAATGAGTTAGGGTGTAAAGTAAACTTGATAGAGTTTTAAGAATTTTTAATTCACCCTATATGGCAAAGTTTGTTCCAAATAATGCATAATTTTTTA